AATATTAAGATAGATGAGTTAAATTATAAAAAAAAGTACATCTTCAAAATAATAAGTAAATATTTCCAGAAATTAATATCTTGCTTAATATTGCTAATTTGCGGAAAAATTATACAAAATGGAATGGCGAATGAACGAAGTCTTAAATTTAATAAGCTTATGCAATCATAAATAAAAATATCATAGCTCATACAAAATTTATTAGTTTAATTGAGATATAAAGTATATGCGATAATTATCGAAGTCAGAAAATATAAAAGCTTTTTTTACAAGTACATTTGCAGAAAAAATTTTATTTATACTTTTTTTTACATACATTTTTTTCGTCCCTTTTCGTCACCTGAAATGTAAAATGACGCAACAATATTTTCAGAAATTTACTGTGGCATAAATGAAACACAAAATAAAATAGAACATGAAACGTGAAAAAAGTTTAATATTGGTTAAAACTGGTTTATATCTGACCGCAGAACCTAAAAATATTGAACATATGTAATATTATGTATGTAATTTGAAGTAGTGAAGCGTAATCAATAAGACACTCAGTTTCGAATTTTTTGATGACACGTTATTTGCTTTTCAGGTGACGATAAATAACTTTAAACAATTCAAGAGCTCAAAATATGCCCAACATTAGGGGGGTTACTCTGTAAGGAGTTGCGCAAGTGAAAACGCTGGTTAATGAAAAAAAGCAACTCTGTAAGATGACAAGCGCATTGAAAATCGCGTTTGGCGCATTTATTTTTACCCCTTCGCAATGGCAGCACTCTGTATTGCGTAAACGACTGTCAAATCTGTGCTTTTACGAATTTTTGATTCGATATCAAACTGGCAAGCGCAACGGACAAAAAATTTAAGTTTATAAGGCATATTTGTAGTTTTAATTAAAAAAAAATGTATTTAACAGGGAACATTCTAAAAATAGACAAACAAACCCAACACAATTCGAAATTTTACTTAATTATATGAAAACACATTCGGAACTTTCCAAAGGACAACTTGAAGCTGTGGACGCGAAAAATACTGCAAATAATTTATGGAAAGAGTTGGTATGTGACCTTAATGCTGCGGGGCCACCATCGCGCGATGTTTTAAAATGGAAAAAGGTAAAAAAGATTAATTCTAAATGATTTTTGAAGCACATATTACTTAATTATTTAAAGGTTT